CATATACATATATATAAAATATACAATATATAATGTATAATTTATAATATTGTATATATTAATTTTATACATATATGTATTTATATATATGTATATATATATATATATATATATATATATATATATATATACATATGCATACGTATGTATGTATATATATATGTATATATATATATGTATATATATATATATATGTACTGCATGCACGACATAAGGAAATATATAATAGGTATCACGAGACGAGTTCGTTCCTTCTGGACTTTCGCAACGAGATCTAGATCGAAATCGAGATCGAGATCGACAAATGATCTGACGACTCGATCGTAAACTCGAGACGAATAGACCATAAAGCGTAAAAAGATAGAATCGAATCGATAATGTTACGATCACGTTTGATCATTGATCGATATGATAACGTAATATTTATATCGATCGTCAATCTTTACGCTGAATATTACGTATACGTAACTAAACTACAACAATTATCAAGTGGTTTATTGTATCGACGTATACACACAGTGACGAGTGGCTGATTGAGAACGTTTAGTGATTGTTAATTGATAACGCGATATGTCTCCTCGCGTATTTATTTCAAAGTGGTATATCTTTTTATTTACTTATTTATTTATTTATTGTTTTACCATTTCTACTCATTTTTTTTCTCTCCAAAGACATTGTCAAATAATGGGTAAACGAAAAAAAAAGATCATTGCTCGTGAGCATGATTATTATTGATAAGGTAATTCCTAACGCTAATAAATATCGGCTTGATACAAGATTAATTCATGTCTACATTTAATAGGATTTATGAATCACGTGTATAAAACATTCAACGTTAGTGAAATTGAATGAAAAAGACGAAAATAAAAAAAAAGAAAAGAAATAAAAAAGCTCTAAGTCTTTATTTTCATGATGAATTGCTCGATATTCCATTGATACCACTTCGAAATATGTATATGTGGGTTACGATTACAAAAAAAAGAAAAAAGAAAGAAAGAATGCGGAAAAATAAAAAATAAAATAGAATGAAATAAAAATGAAAAGAAAAAAAATCAAAATTGGAAAGAAGCATTTAATGACCGTTCTTAATCGCTAATTCGCCACACCTGTATACACGCGATATGTAAATATAATACTAATCTAATGAAATTACGATGACAATAAAATTACGCCTCGACCGAGGTTTACTAGCGATAATAAATAATTTCTATCCCTACCTAACTATACTAATTCATGTACCTATACGTCTATACGTGTATATATATGTATTGTATTGATATGCATGTATCTGTATTTTGTTCAATAAATTTCCTCGATGTAAATGTAAATATAGTATGTATGTTCTATCTATGTATAGTGAATTGAGTAATAGATATAGTTTTTTCAAAGGTTTGTCTAATGAGTATAATGTATGTATCTGTATGCATAAAATCAGTGTGATCTGTAATGATAATGAACAAAATATATACGTATATGTATATATATATATACACATATATATATTCATATACACATATACATATACATGTACATATATATATACACATATATACACATATATATATATATTCATATATATTTATATATATATATATATATATATATATATATACATACATACATATATATATATATATATATATATATATATATATCAGATAAAAATCAGTGCTACACAAATTCGAATATAGCATATTTATAAAACGTATCTAACGAAGAAATTCTACTTTCATAACCTGGAACATTTGACTTGATACTAATTAGCGTTTTTTCGGGTAACGCTTCACTGACCCGCAACGGGTCGTACGGCGGTCGTTGTGATCTTTGAAATCGGTCCAGCCACCGCGACGCGGCTAAGATCGTCGTCGTGCCACGAATCTACCCGTCGAACTAAAGGGACACAGGAAACAACGTGTTTTACAGACTAAACGAATGAGAAAGAGAGAGAGAGAGAGAGAGAGAGAGAGAGAGAGAGAGAGAGAGAGAGAGAGAGGAAAAAAGAGAGAGTGAGAAAGAGAAAAAGAAAAACTAAAGGAAATGAACAGAGGATCAGAAAAGGTGAGTCAAATGTTTGCACGTGCTAAACATATTATTCTTTTTTCTTTTCTTTTTTTTTATTTTTATTTTTTCTTTTCTTTTTCTTTTTCCTTTCTCCCCTTTCTTTCAAATTAAACAAATTTATGAAACGTGCCTCACGCTCTCACCTCATTCGATATCGACTAGTGATAAAAATGATATTTATGTGGGTATATACATGTATAATATCTTTTTGATTAAAAAGAGAAATTAGTAGCAGAGATTTGTTTAGGTAGATTCGTTGGTGACATTTTTCTTTATAATCTTTTTTCTACGGTGTTTCTTTTTTCTTTTTTTTTTTCTTTTTCTTCGTTTCTCTTTTTCTTTTTTTCTATTAAAAAAATTCTTTTTCGATCAAGCCATTATTTTACACAAAAATACACGCGTCGTATGTGTTCAAATATATACATATGTAGGTACATTATATTGTGTACACACACACATACCGATTAAGACGCATAATATGTACTTAGATACATTAGGTGAATCAACGCGAAGAGAAAGAGAGAGAGAGAGAGAGAGAGAGAAAGCGTCATTTCTAAGATTATTTTTAAATAAAAATAGAGAATACGAAAGAAGGAGATTAAAAAAAAGAAAGAAGATAAGAAAAGAAAGAAAGGGAAATGAAAATTTGTATCGAAGAGAAAAAAATAAAAAATAAAATAAAAAGAAAGATAAAACTAAAAAACGTGCGTATACCTCTCTTCTCTCTTCGATTTCGATATCGCGTAAGATATCGTACGACCTTAAACTCGAACACGATTCATGATCCCAACGAACGCCAATGCCCAGCGAGAAATTACGTTTTCTCTTTTTCGCGTACCCATTTATTTTATTTATTTTTGTTTTTTTCTATGTTTTTTATGTTTTTTTTTTAAACTCGTCTTTCTCATTCGCCACACGTTATACGTGCTCAGCGCGTACAGACCATATCGATATACACACATATGAACGTATATTATTTTTTTTGTTTTTTCTTTTTTGTTTCTGTGTTCTTCTCTTCTTTCGTCTATTATGTTCTCTTTGTTTTTGAGTTTTTTGTTTCGTTGTTTACGTTTTTAAGTTTTTATTTTTTTTTCTTTCTCTTCAAAGTACGTTTTTTGCTTTTTGTTCACTTTATAAAAAATAAAGTTTTAACTACTCACGCTAAAGCTATAACTACGAAGTCGAGCCAATTCCATGCATCTCTAAGATAGGTAAAAGGCTGCAGAATGAAACCCCTCGCCATCACCTTAACAGCGGACTCAAATGTGTAGATGCCCGTAAATATCACTCTGAAAACAACAAATACACCACTCAGCTTTAAATGCGATTATATTCTTCTACCGTTTTTTTCTCTAAGGGTAAAAGCAGTAGTAATAGTAATATATATATATTTTTTTTTTGTAAATTAAATTTATTTTTATTTATTTCTGTTTTTCTTTTCTTGTTCCGCTTTCTTTTTGTTTCTATAATTTCATTTACGGGTGTTGCGTAAAGAGTGCGACGCGGCCATTTTGAAAGAATGGTGGCTAAAGCAATATGGCCGACCTTTTTTCTTCCTCGTTTCTCTTTCGAAAGATAAATAGAAAGAAATAGTGAAAGAAAAAGAGAGTAAGAGATAGATAGAGACAGAGAGAGAGAGGGAAAAAGAGAAATTTTTAATTTTTAATTTTTAATTTTTAATTTTTAATTTTTAATTTCTTTCCTTTAATGACACGTCGCATCTACCAAAACGCATTATTTAATTTATTCTCTACCAGCAAATTAAAATACTTATCCCAGAAATCGGTACGTGAACAAGTGACAGCTACGGATATTACAATGTCGAGCTCGATTCTCTCTCTCTCTCTTTCTCTCTCTCTCTCTCTCTTTCTCTCTCTTTCTCTCTCTCTCTCTCTCTTTTCCTCTTTCTCTCTTTCTCTTTCTATCTTCATCGAATAGAAAACAATACTTTGACATGAAGCAACAACGATAGAGAGAAAATGTCTTTCTAAATGTTTAATTTAGTTATTCCTCGAAGTTCAAAAGATCGAATAAAAGAGAGAGAGAGAAAAAGAGAGAGAGAGAGAGAGAGAGATAAAGAGAGAGAGAGAGATAAAGAGAGAGAGAGAGTAAGAGAGATAAAGAGAGAGAGAATCGGCTACGCCTAGACTACCTCTAGACAGACTAGGACAAAACTTACCAACGGAATACAATTTGTCACAAAATGTCTACTGTGATTATCGTGTGTGATGTATGAATATATATAGTACATATACAAAATATATAAGTATATGTATACTTACATATGACCTAATATATTGCCATATATATGTATGTATATGATAATAATAAAGAAGGTAGCCTTGAAAAATTTAATGTATCATTTATTTTTAACTAAAAAATATATCTATAAACATAGAAAAAGTATATACATATTGGTACATATGTATATAAAATAGTCCACTTTCATAATCATTGCATATTTAAATGCATTCTGTATATGTATATATATATATGTATATGTATCGAAGCTATAAAGCATATAATATGTATTGAATATAATTCGAAATCTCTATATTATAGTCTTTCAAGTTGACAAGTTCAAGGGATTACAAGCCATCGATGAGATAATTCTACCTAATACGCGTTCTAAAGCCGATAAGTGAAAACGTGAGATAGAGATCGGTCGATGAGCGTGTTACTAGCCGGGCTAAGGTTACGATCAACTTATACTGGTTCTTTTAGATGGAAAAAGAAAAAGAAAAAGAAAAGATACACATATATATATACACACACAGGTGTATGTATACATATACATATGTATATATATATATATACATACATAGTATAAGTATGTGTATAAAAGGAAGGATCTTTGATCGATCTCAACCTATACCCGTGTATACCCGTGTCGTCTACAATGTACTAAAAATGTTAGGTTCGTGTGTTCGGAACGATTAAAATATATAGATAATAAGTCTTGAAAATTTTTATAAAAAAAAAAAAAAACAAAAGAAAAGCAAAAAATGAAAGAAAAAATTATTTCTTGTATAGGATCAATAGGGAAATGTTAACTGTATCGGTTATCAAAATATATAGATTAGATTTCGTCTAGATCTAATTAACATTTAATTAAAGATACTTAATCGCTACGATATGCGTATGAATCTATCGATGATGCAGATGGAGGAGCTAAAGAATTTTTATGATTTTGTTTTTTTTCTTACTTTTTCTTCTTTTTTTTTTCAATCACTCAAATCGAACTTGTTATATCATAACATAATATTTGTTTTCTCTTTCGAGTTCGAGTTTCTAGGGGGGAGGGGAAAGGCATCAGGACAAGGGCGTGTGGGGGTAGTGGCGTTCGGTGCTGTGCTTCTATATATTATAATAAATTGTGTTGAAGAAGGGTTCGAAAAAGATAAATAGATAAATAGAAATAAAATGTGAAAGTAAAAAAAAAAGAGATAGATAGATAGATAGATAGATAGATAGATAGATAGATAGATAGATAGATAGATAGATAGATAGATAGAAAGAAAAAGAGAAAGAGAGAGAGAAAGAGAGAGATTAAAATGTTGGAGTACGCAGATATAAAGAAAGATAAAAGGGAAATAGAAAATTAAGTTTCTACGTAGATATAGATGATCAAACGAACGACGAAGATCGAAGAAAAAAGCTCAAAAATACTTACTCGGTGGATTCGATGGTAGGCGTTGTGGGCATGATCATGAGTATGCAGTTAACCAATATCGTAGTGATGATGAAGAGGGAGAAGAGTGGGTGAACCAGAATGTAGATAGCCACGCGTCGTATCGGGTTGAATGGATCGAGGATCCACATCGCGTCGGTCGCTGAGAACCTAAATATATCCTTTCCCTTGCTGACGACGACGAAGGTCTGCTGAGTTAGAAGAGAGAGAGAAAGAGAGAGAGAAAAAACAAAATAATCAAGATATACGATTATTAATAAACTTTCTGTTTTTTTTTCTTATTTCTTTTTCTTTAATTACTTTATTTTTGTTTGTTTGACAATAATTACTGGAATAATCGAAAAAATAAATTCGAAAATTAATGATTTTATATAATATTACATATTACATTTTAAATAATATATAATATTCCATAAATATATACATATATATAACTCCTGTATTATATATTATAATATATATTATATATGTATATAATACTATAATTCTCTTTGAAAAAAATATAATATATTACATAGCTTATATATATATATATGTGTGTGTATTTATATATAGGTTATTATATATTTATATAATAACTTTTTAATACAAAAAATAAATAAAAATAAAAATAATAATAAAATAAAAAAATAATTATAATAATTCTTATAAAATAATATTTTTATTATGAGTTAAACGAAAAAGAGAGAGAGAGAGAAAAAAAGAAGAAGAAAGAGAAAAAGTTTATACCCTTTGATTTTGATAGAAGGTGTCGATATCCTCGAGAGGTGTGGAGGCCAACTCGGGTGGAAATACGTTATGCAATCGAACCGGGATCGGTGCTCCTTGTTCGAGCGCCGGATCCGGTTGAGGACCCTCATCCTCATCCTCGTCGTCATATCGTACCTGTGAAACGAAACACCAAAATGTCAGAAAATCTTCCATAATGTGATTTCCTATCTATAACGTCGTGTTCCTTTGCTCTAACGCGAAAGGATCTTCTTCCAAGTCATTCCTCTAATACGATCTATGATTTCTTTCCTTTAAATATGCTTGAACGATTCTAAATCATTTGGTGACAAATGAAAAAAAAGAAAAAAAAAGAAAGATTAGAAAAATAAGCAGGAAAATTTTTTTGTTTGCTTTTTTGTATTTTTTTTTTTTTTAGAATGGTTTCAATAAAAACATTGGAATGGTTATTGGTATTGTATTAATTTCGTAATCGTTGGAAAACAATCGAATTTCTTATTCTATAGCAAAATTAATAAATAAATGAAATATCCAAATAATTATATATAAGAAATAAATATATGAATAATATATAATAAATAAAATATATAAATTTAATATAATATAATACGTTAATAATATGAGAAATAAAATTGTATGTGTAAAAAAAGTAATTAAAATAAATTATTATTGATCAATGTTGATCGTTGTATTGTAAATATAATATTATTTAAATATAAAATTATATAAAAATATAATATATAATACCATTTATTTTAGAAAGGATATTTAATTAAAAAAAAAAGGAAAAAAAAACAAGAAGAAAGCGACAATAAATTAATGTTGATAAAAATAATATTTTTGAATCTTTTTGATCTTAAATATTCAACAAATACTACAAATTCATATACGCATAACCAAACCATCGTTCTAATCGATACTATAATAAAAGTTCACTTGAAGATATACGTTATAATCCGTTTCTAAATCATAGCTCTATTAGCTTTTCAAGCGTTTTTTTCTTTTTATTTTCTTTGTCG